TTCTGTGGATGATTACTTTTCTCCAGCGCAGATCCAGAAGACAAACGATCTCCTAGAGCTGTTGAGACCAGGCCACATCAGGGGGTGTCTGGTTGGCCATAACCCAGAGTCCCAGACCTTCCATGGGGCACATGTGATTCACCGTGAGGAGGAGGCCATGCAATCTCACACCATCTCATCTGTGTAAGTGCAGGCAGGGAGGCAGAGGTCTAAACATGCCCGCGCTCACTGAGAATTACATGCCAGATAAGTGTGATGTTATTTTCCAAAAAACTGTTTTACTCTGCAGGGAAGCGAGGCCCTATTTCTGTTTTCATGTTTTCACTCAAAGCACATCTGTAAGGAAAAGCCAGTAGCTAGAAAATGGAAGAGTGTTTATTTATTTCAAAGTTTTCTTCCTCAAACTTTAATGCATCTTAGTGGTTGCATATTCACGTCTTTTGCAGTTGTAAATGCTAGACTGGTTTTGGTATGGTCCTAAATTTTAGTGTTAGGATGACCTTAATCTATATCAGAGCTATAATACCACATAATATTATCAAAGAAAACAACTGGCCATTTTGTGACAAAAATTACATTATCGTACATTAAAGTGCAATCCTTTAATCATCCAAGAGTATTATTACACAAAGGTTATCAGTATATTTTTTGAAACCTTTTTTGCTTTGTTTTATGTATCGCCTATTTTGTTTTCTTTGGACTCCCGTCTCATCTTTTTGGTGAGGGGTCTGCAACATCCATGAAGAGGTTATTGCTTTGCCTGAAATACTGCACAGTATGACCTTAAACATGGTACCTTTAATCCTTTTTATTGCTAAACACACTTGACTTTGAAATGTATGGATTGTATTGTGAGCAGGCTTGCCTCTCCACAGATCTGACCAGTACCTAGGCCAGATCCAGTATCACATGCTTTTCTCAATTATTCACGAACAGCAACATCTCCTTGGAGAGAGGCAGGTGACACACCCTCTACCAAAAAGATTACATGGATGTTCAGCACAATGATTTTCAGAAAACTACATTATCACAAAGGATATTACATCAAATCTAACAAAAATAACCCAGATCTTATTAGTTTTACAGTTATCAATAGGTGCCATAACTCCCCAGTGAGCATCGCCCTGCTCCTCTGCCCGTTGCCGTGGTGATGAGTCCTGGTTGTGATTTTGACGAGAAAGCGACAGGCGATTAATGAGCCAACTTAAACTTGAGCACTAAACAGAAGTCAGTCCTCAAAGCCTAATTAAATGAGTTGTTAAAGTGTAAGATAATGAAACAGCAGAACAAATTCATTTTTCCGTTAAGTTGCTACAATTTATGAAAGTAGAATCCTGTGTCCGCAAGACACTTTTATCTTTGTCTTATTTGCATTTTTCTGTCAAAAGAATTTACATGTCTCGGCATAATTAATGAACGGGCTGGTTATTTGCATATTCTTGCTCTGCCCACCAAAAGATAATGAAGAGATTGTATATGCAGCCAGGATGACCAAATGTGGAATATTTTAAGCATCCAGTAGGCAGAAAATAATTTAAAAAACAATATTCATTTATAATTGTGCATTATCTTTATTAAAACTGGAACAACAGCATTGAGTCTTTCAGGTGCTAATTAAGTTTGCTCTTTTTAGCACATCAGAGGCAGGTCACTACTAAATCATACCATTTAAAGCAAGTGCCATTTGGAATTACAGCGTGGCAAAGATGAAAAAGAATTATTCAACACCACTTGGCTTGCGGTCAATGATCCAATTGTGTCAACAGCTTCTTATCTATTCTAATGCATTACATACAGTTTACATTATGAGGAAAACATGACTATTTACTCATTAAAAAGTAAAGCTGTGATTTTGATCTATAAGTGTAATGTTGTAGCAGGTACAGAGCTGGTTGCTGAGGGAGAAGACAGAAAAATTACTCTGACACTTTGAAACTCACATTTGCATCGCATTTGGAATAATCACAGGCTTTGATATAGGCAGCTTCCCGAGTTCAGATTAACTCTACATGCAGAAGAATTTCCGTGCAGATGTTTGGTCTATATATTTAAGGGACATTTAAATATACTTACTATAGCCTATGAATGGGTAGATTTTTAGAAACAACAAACATAGATTAGTTAGATGAAGCAATGATTGTTTTTCATCTAAGGTTGTTGATTCATTTTCTAACATAATCTACATTGTATAAAAACAGTTCTGATACAGGATGGTATTAATTTATTATTATTCAATTAAAATTATAGCTCTAATCTAATCTCTATTTTACAATATCATATTATTTTATTGGCCCTATTAAGATTCAGATTAGTGTTGTAACGTGTTGTCACTTGTGCTTTTTTAGGTGTAGCCTCTCAGTAGGAGTTATCCCATCAAGGCTAGTGTCATTGAACAGTCTTTGTGCTGTGAAAACACCAAACCCTGCTGTTAGTAATGTGTGTGTGTGTCTAGTGTGTGTGTGTGTGTCTGTCTCTCTCTGTGTGTGTATGTGTGTCTGTCTGTCTCTCTCTGTGTGTGTGTGTGTGTCTGTCTGTGTGTGTGTGTGTGTGTCTGTGTCTCTCTGTGTGTGTGTGTGTGTGTGTGTGTGTGTGTGTGTGTGTGTGTGTGTGTGTGTGTGTGTGTGTGTGTGTGTGTGTCTGTGTGTATCGATGGCTCTGGCACAAAACGATGGAGAAAAAACAGACAGATGAACAAACAAGGGACAGATTAAGCAATGTTGGGCTGAGTGGAAACCTATGGCAAATATTAGAGCCTTTTCCAACAATTGCAAACAAAGAGGCTGTACCTAAAGCAGTTGCAAAAGAAAAACATAAATGGGTCAGTGCACTCACAGATATCAAGTCAACTGGATAAAAATTACATACGTACATACTTCAGTTTAGGGAAACTTTAGTTGGTTTATGATGGATTAAGGGCTGCATAGGACAGGTTCATGAGTTGAGACATTAACTGACCTCTATGCACCTGGCCTGGGATTATCTCCAGGCCTCATCTCTCAAATGAAGCATAGTGTCCCTGAATGCTTTAAATCAGACTGAATTCCTGGTGTTCAACACATCTTGTATAGGCCTTTGTTTGTTTAGAGGCATAAAATAAAAGACAGGTTATCCTTATTTGCACATACAGCAGCACATTGCAGTTCTTTTTTGTAGCCTAAAGATCTGTAAATTGTGATCTTGGTTTCCCATGTGATGAGAGCAGCAGCAGCCACGCCCCCTTCACTGGTCATACAGAGTAGTTACAGCAGATCTGGTTCACTTTTTGCTGCTCGCTGTGTCGTGTGTCCCTGCGCACTGGTGGCTCCCGCTGTGTTTTGGAGCTGAGCGCTCACACCTGTGGCGAGCAGGGATGGAGAGCGCAGCTTCCTCGCGCTAAACCCTTCCGCAGGACCCCGCTGGTAATGATCTAAAGGTGGGTCCATCCTTTCGGACTGTCTGGTGAGCGACATCTCCAAACAGGGCCATGCCAGCAGCTGAGACGCGCCCTGTGCCATGCTGAACACAGGAGCGACCCTGCTCGCTCTGAGCGCCGTGGTCGCACTCGTGCAGCCCTGCGGAGGATGGAGCGACGATGACCTTCTGCTCCCACCCATAAACTCCTCCAACAGGTTTCTGGCCAACTTAGAGGTGGACGTGCACTTCTCCAAGCGCTCTGTGGAGGAGAGTGACCCTTCAGCCGCGTCCCAGTGCAATGTGACCGTACATAGATTGCTCCCCACATCCCTGGTGGCGCGATGGGACAGCAGCTTCGGCTTTCAATGTGATGTCCTCGTCTACACCACCAATAACCACGGCAGGGCTTTCTTCTCTGCCACCATCAACCGGGGCATCTCCCCCGTGGTCATCGAGCACCTGGCGATCACGGGAGGGCAACAGGAGTTGCGACTGTGCGTGGGCTGCGGGATGTCCCGCTACAGACGGTTTGGACAGGGCAGGTCCAGAGGGCACACCGGAGATCAGATCACTTTCTGCTGCGTGGATTTCAGCTTGGATGAGCTCAAAGGGGACAAAAGTTGGAGGCTGAACAGAAAGCCCATCGAGTCAACTCTCGTGGCGTGTTTCATGACTCTGGTGATCATTGTGTGGAGCGTTGCTGCCCTCATCTGGCCAGTACCCATAATTGCGGGGTTTCTGCCCAATGGCATGGAGCAGAGGAGGCCCAGATAAGTCTATAGTCCTGCTGCTACACAGTTTAGTACTGTAGCAAAACTAGCCATCAATGGACATTTGTCTGGACTCTGGAGGATGGGCATCCCATATGAACGCGTAGGCTTGGCTGTAGGCCTATAGGCTAGGGATACTAGGATTGTGATGTAAGATTTGCACTGCCAGTTGTGGGACCAAAAAAGTGTATTTTGTATACCTTGTAGGCCTTCTTCCTATAGTCAGTGTAAACTGTGCACAATTAAACTCCAATGGTGTTTGTATAATTTTTAACCTTTCTAGAATATTTGCCTTATCTGGTGTGGAGGACTTTTTAAATGAAATGTGTGGTCACCAACAAACAATATCTCTTCTCTATAGTTAACAGTTTTTATCCGAATTAGCCTATGATACGTTGTATTATTGCAGAGAGTTTTGCTATTTATATTGTAGATTTATATCATAAGATTGGATATATTTGCTTATTTGTATTCCCGTTAAACTGCTTAAATAAAATAGATAAACTTTGGTTCATTTTGTCTGAGATGATTTTTGAAAAGAAAAATATAGACTGATAGCAAGAATATAAAAGCAAACGTTTTTTTTTTTTTTGCCATAGGCCTGTAATTAAAGTTTCAAATAAATAACATTTCAAGAGCAAAAATCAAGAGTTAAGACTACACTTAAATTCAAGATGAAAAGTTTAGTTTAGACATCAGATTCCAAGCAAACGAAAGCATTAGTCAGGCTAAATTACCAGTCTAAATCATCATTCAAGAACGTTATGAGTGCGTCTAATGGTTGCGTAAAAACAGGGTTTACCGCGCTCCACAGGCCTACCATCCTCGCCACACCTTTACCTGACTTTTTCGCAGGAAGTGGTTTACGTTTCTACGAGGAAGCGCGAATGGCGAATGGGGTGCTTTTTGTTTCAGTTTAAAATAAGCTGTGAAATATGAAAGCAGCTTCACGGTATTTATTTGTTAGTAAAACAGACGTAAGAAACTAGAAAGAGCATGTTCTGGGCCGCAGTCACAGTATGGACCCTCTTCGCAATCACGCGTTTCTCCTCCGCTTTTGCTGGTAAGTTAAGCTTAATATTTGACCTAGCAGCCTACTTTAGGTTATTTATCTTCGTACATGCGTCTCAAAGTGTTCAATCATTGGATAAAACAGCAATAGATTCATTTTCAGTAAGTAAAGCCAGATAACTGAGCCTGCATCGTATTATTTTGTTTCAAGCCGTAATTACAGTGAGTGGCAATTTGTTTACCCACAGAGCTCTGTCACTTTAAAGTAGGATCATCATTATAGTCACATGTCCAGCTACTTCAAGTAGTATCATTTGGCTTGTTAAGAGAATGATTTGCCTGCATAAAATGAGATTTAGACGACAGTGGGTGTAAAGCTATTGCTTGGCACGTCCAGAATGATATTTCACTGTAGGCTGTTTATTAAAGTAGACTATTAAAGAAGTGTGTATTCGGGATCTCAGGCAAGTATAGGCTAGTAATAGACAAGTCTGATTAGTCATAAAGTAAGCCTTTTGGATACAAGTATAACAGGGACAGCCAGCATCTCCTTCAAATAAATTAAAATAAACAACGCATTAACTTTATTCCTGGGTTTATCTTATGTTTTCTTATAGTTATGCCTGTCACTATAACAAAGTTCAATATATTGCTGAGATAAATATAGAATATTAACAATAATTTTTAATGTAATTTATGCCACTGACGCAAAAACCCAAAAGCAGATTTAAACCACAAAAAAATCTTCTAAATATACAGCATTGTTAAAAATTCAACCTTTTGCATCATAACTCTTATCATATAGTCAAAAAATTACCAAAAATGTCTCAGTAGTGCAAAGAAAATGTACACATGATAAATATTGACCCCGAAGATATAATACTTCATCAGTCATGTATTGAAAGATAAGCGGATATAGTTATAGTACTTCTTTACAATGAGTTACAGGCTTACTAGAGAAGCATTGTGGTTTTGTTTCTTTGATAACAAGATACACTAAAACATCTTCTTTTATTATCCAGATACACAGAAGGTGGACATTACGCTTGACAGTGGAACAAGCCTCACCTTCAGCAGCTCTCCCTCCACGGGCTCAGGGTGTGAAGTGTGCAAAGTGACTAAACCTTTAGGCATAAATACAAGAAACTGTTCATCATCCCTGACATTGGAAAATCCTGGATCTGTGTCTGTGGAGCTACTGTGCCGCAATCTTCAAGGAGCATTCAATGTTAAAATTTCAAGGACTATTGGTATATTGTCATTCTGAATTATCTCTCAAATCCTTTTCAGCAAATAGACATACCTCCTCTGAAATACACTCCTTCTATTTTCCATTATTAAGTGTAAAACAACAGCAATTTGAGAAGCATTTGTCTCATACACACATTTTTCATTGATTGTTTCATTGTGCTTTCTTCCCAGAGTGCAACTCCCAATCTTGCAACGGGAATATCAACACTAACTTCAACTTTGATGCTTTGTTAAATTTAAAACGCCTCTTTGTCTGGACTGTAAAGGCTGCTGGTCCAAATGCAGCTAGAATAGACTTTGGAACAACTGGTTTGAGACAAATTCAACCCTCCCAAAGCTGTCCTGACCTTCATATCTACACATATGAGGTTTCTGAAGACTCAGGAAATGTGCTGGTCGGCAGGTACTGCAGAACAGGTCCTATCACAAAGGCCCAGGCCCGTGGAGTTAATAGGTTTTCACTTGAGCTTCCAGCTGGGCGGAATCTGCACTACATCAACTATGAAGTCTCAGTTGGTGAAGAAATCAAGTGTAAGTCCATTTCAGACTTGTAAAAATTTCATGGTATTGTATTATCACAGTATTAACCTTAGTGAAGAGGCTGACTATTATCTATGAATGACTCTCACCAATGCCATGTTGAGCCTTGTTTTTTGATCTATATTTTAAAGTGTATTATATAACATTTCTGTTAAAGGGTATTTGTTTAGTTCCATGGAGATGCATTTTCTTTGCCTGGAATGCCTCACAGTGTGGCATTTAACTTATCTTACATTTATTCATTTACATGTTTTCCCTTAAAGACATTCTTACTGTGAGCTGGCTCACCCTACACATCGGCCTGGAGGTGCCACCTGTCCCAGACAAAGCAATAATATCTCCATGGGAACAAGCATGTGGGACACCCTCCACTAGAAAAGTTGCATGTGCCCTTATAAATGTGTCCATCGCATCACAGATTTTTCTTTTTTTTTGTATTTTTATTCCCATTTTAGCCCTTGCCAAGGTATCAGTACTTCTACAAGGCCATTCCTCCTTGGAGCTACTTACTCCCAACTATCCTGGTAGTTTTCCTGATGACAAGGTTATGGAGTGGTACTTTGAGGTTCCAGCCAAACACCGGGCTTCCATACAGCTGTTCAACCTCACACAGCCTCGGTGTGTGGAGAAGGACCCAGCCCTGGAGTACCATAACAGGCTGCGGCTAGGCCTAGTGGCAGGTCTGACAGAGACCCAGCCCGTGCAGAGGGAAGGGGGCTTCACCATGACCCTTAGGAACTGTAAGATGGATAGGGCTCGAGCTGATTACCCTGGCCTGTCCACCAGCTTCAAAGTGTCTGCTTCAAAGATAGCTACAAATGGTTTGTACAGAATTTCTGGTTGATTTGAGTTTGGGGAAGTTATGGAATTATTACTCAAGAATTATTACTTATTACTATTCATTGTAGAATAGAGGTTAAAGGTTACTTGAGTGGGAAGCTTGCACAAAATAATACCACAAACCTTTTAAGCCCTGTTTAATCAAATACAATCAAGTCAGTTTGAAATTTGAATGGGTGCCATGAGTGTAGGATGGGGAACCTTTAACCATGTTATTACAGGAAAAGGAATTACAGTGAGTTTAATATAATTTTGATTATGTTGCAGTAGTGTGTGCTCACATACTCCTGAAATTCTGAAACTTTTTATGTCCCCAGGTAGTAGAGAACTCTGAGGTTGCATCATTATTGAGTCACACGATATGATCATTCACATGTCTTACTCCACTCATCCTCAGTCCTGCTTTTAAAGGAAATCAACATGTTTTGTCTTGCAGTGCTCTGTGAGGTGAATTTAAGTAGATTTTCAGACCTCTCTCTTCACATTAAGAAGCTGAAACCTCTCTCTGACTGTATCATGAGACACCAGTCAGTACCCAGAGAACAGCTCACTCTGAACCCAGGCACTACAACAGAGCTCAGGTTTGAAGACTGTCATCCTGAAGACATACAAGTCACGGCCACAAAAAAACTCGGTGAGATCTGTTCATTTCTGTCCTACAATAATTGACCTTTGACCCTTGAAGAGTTCTGAAGTTTCTCACTGATTGTCAATATAAGCCTATTAGGCCACTCACCATTTAAAGGTCCTATATTATGCTATTTTCTGATCTATGTTATAATGTTGTTTCCTCATTAAAATCATATCTGGAGTTGTTTGACACACAAATCCTGCATATTTAGGCTGAGTTCTTTTCTCAAACAGAAAACACTCTGTTCCACCTTGTGAAGTCATAAGGTAATACAGGAAGTGCTACTAGTACACTGTGTTTTCCAACTCCATACACCTTCACTAGAATCAAATGGACTGTTTCAGCCCTGGAATTGCCCATCTCTACCAAACAAAATGTAAAAGATAGCTGTTAACATGAAAACTACCACTTCATGACAACACAACGTGAAAAAGAGCATTTTGAGCTTTGAAGATGTAGACAGACTTAATGAATGAACTAAACAAAACACAACTCCGGATATGTTTTTGTGGTGTTGACAACATTGTAGCATGTCTTAAGCTCCCAAGAATACATGTTTTCTAATAGAACCTTTAATATGTCAAATTTTGCCCCTAAAATGCTTTCATTTAATATTGTATGTAGTTGCATTGAAATGTTTTATTATCCTATTACCTCTTACCACTTTTACCCTTTTTAGGCTGTTCTCGGGGCAGAAGCTGCAACAGGTTGCCCCTCTCGGTGCCTCCATTGCCTCAGTGCCTGCCTCCCCTGAGTAGCCTGACGTGGACCTCCACGATTCCTCAGGATGGGACACTGGAGCTGGGCTGTAGCTCGGGCACACTCAGTCGGGTGCTGCCAGGACAGCCCTGTAACGACAGTATCATGATCACAATGGCAGAAGATGATGGTTCAAGTATTGGGACTTTCTGTCGCGGTGGTGCCATGACTAAACTCCAAATCCACACCAATGTGACCATCACTGTCACTGGCACAAATGGAAGTGATCTTGTTCCGTCTCACATACTGACAGCACGTATAAAGGATGAAATTTCAGGTAAAAAGCAAGAAAAAACAAAAACATGAAAACATTGATATCTCAATCAAATCAGTGCACATTTTTACCATTATAATTATCTCCAATTTCCCAATAGAAAGTTTCATATTCAGAGTGTCTCCAGTGAAGGATACCCCGCTTTTCTTGGCCACACCTGGTTGGCCAAAAGGAATGAAGTCTTACTCAACGGCGTCTTGGATCGTCACTGTCCCACCAAAGATGGAGGCACATCTCATGTTCACTAAACTGAGCCAGCCCAAATGCAGCGCCCATCACACTGGCATAAAAATCCGAAGACTGGGGCACATAGAGGATGACTACAGCCGCAGGGAGGACGAAAAGCCCCTGCATGAAATCACAGTGTCTGGGAGCTTCTTCCTCAACATGTCCAACTGCATGCCCGAGAAGGGGGACTTCAGTGTCTTCACCAAAGTCACACTGCACAGGAGTAAGACCACTGGCAAAATTCAGTTTTTGCTTTATGATCAACAACACCTCCATAGATACAGGATCCTGCACCTTTAGACTGACAAGTCCCTTGTGATTCCTAGGAGCAATCTAAAATAGTCTGCATCATTGCAACTTTGTTACACTTATTGTTTAAGCTATAATAATGTTCAACAACAAACGTTAAGTTACTTTTAACATATTTTTAAAAACTATTTGATGAAATATCACCAGTGGTGGAAGAAGTACTCAATTTTGTTTCTTAAGTAAAGGTACAGATACTAAAGCAAATAATACTCAAGTAAAAGTAAAAGTATCACCTGAAAAAATCTATTATTTTGCAGATTTTGAAATCTATAAAGGCTTCAAATGCATTGATTTTGATAACGATTTGTGCTGAATTTTGTTCAGCCAGAAACAGTTTAATTGATTTTTCCCTAGCTTCCTTAATTTTTGTTTACTCAAAAGAACATGAGGAAAATAAACACCTCAGCCTTTTCAGCAGGTCTAAAACAATGATTAAAAAGTAGAAAAAGCAGGTACCTGTCCCAAAATCTAGTGAAGTAAAAGTAAAAAGTATCCACTTTAAAAAAATAAATAAAAAATCGTATATAAGGACAATATTTTACTTCTTTAACTTTGTTACATTCCACCACTGAAAGTCATACTAATTACTATTAATTAATATTTACTAATCTTTACTTGTTTGTTTTCAGTGTATTTTACTATTTATTTTTTGCTCTTAATAGTAATAATGTTGTAGAGAGTTGACTAAACATATTTCATTATTTTCAGGCCAGATGCTGATTATCATAGCAAGTGTAGTGGCCGCCTTGTTGGTCCTTCTCATTGTGATCCTTGTTGTGGTGTGTTTAGTGATTAGGTAAGTTACTCCCTTCGGCTGATGTAAATTTGTAAAATGTAGTTTAATGTTTAATTAATACTTTTTATTTTGCCACGGTGAACAGAAAAAAGAAGAAGACTTTCAACCACCAGACTTCCATCTATAATCCAAATGGCACAAGTTTCCTGCCAGGACAAAATGGTTTTCCCACATCACAAGTGGACGATGATGCGCATGTGTATGATTACATTGAAGACACTCTTGTCTACTCTCATCTGCTGAGGAACAGGGAACAGATAGGTACATATGGAGAGGCTGTTCCTGGCCACAAAGACACACAGAAGCCGCTAGTGGCCAGAGAATGTGACATGGAGGTAGGCACTTACCAGGATTTTCTTCATGGGCAAAGACCAGAGCTGCCCAAAAGGCCCCCAAGCCACATGCAGCCAATGGTGGACAATGAGTTGTATGAGAGTAGAGAAGGGGAAGAGGAGTCGTCTGCTCTAAGACCGAAGCTAGAGCAAGATGAGGGAGAATAAGATGGAGAGCCAAGGCTGTGAAATTATTTCTGTTTACATCAATTAAGTTTTTACCAGGACACAAAAAAACAAAATTGTTGCTGTTACAAAGATGAGGGGACATTATTTTTTCAATACATCTCAAATAAGCCATTGCACCACTCCTGGACTGCTGGATATTCATATTGTATATGATAATAGTGTAGTAATGTGTGGCTGTTGCAGAAGTAAAGTTTTAGCATTTCTATCTTTTCTCATAAAGAGTTTGTTGATACAGATGCCTATTCATTAAGGATTTTATTTAATGTGTTAGAGCATCTGATAAGGTTTTTTTTTTCTTTTTTAAATCGAAATGACTATTTATCCATTAGTAATTTGAGTAGCAGAAGTAGCAGTAGCAGTGTCAGTGTGAGGAGAGACACATCACTTACATAAAATACAATAAAAGGGCACATTCATCAACACATAAAGTCATAATAAATAGTGTTTATTTTATAGAATTTAAGTTTAATTAGGAGAACATAAAGTGACTAAAAACCCAATGTGAGTCATTTAATGATGATTTGATTATGGTGATGACGACGATGATATCCCAACATGTATTTGTTTTTGACCAAAGAGTGGGATTAAAATGTTTTCGTGTTTGTAAATTACATTTTATTGTTAATTTGCGTTTTGCCTGAATTTTGTAGAGTAATACTAAGGCTTATTTTGCTTTTGACAGTGAATCAGTGACAGTATGAATCCCAATGTAAATAATATAGGCCCAAATATTAATTCAGCCAGAACCAGCCCAAGTGCAGCGACAATCACACCTTCAGAGGAGGAAGAGATGCAAAGAGGACGAGCAAACTGAAAGTGAAATTGCTGTGTGTGGGAGCGTCCAAAAGTAAGTAATTTTCGGAATCAATGTGTTCTGTGATGTTTCCGTCTGTTTACCTTTGTGTTCAAATTAAATATCCAAATCTCTTCTCTAAGGAACACTTACAAAGCTTTAACAGTTTTATTATCATTGCATACTTTTACTAGCTTTTAAAATTGTTAGCCTACTTAGTTTCACCAGTGTTCTTATGTATTATAAAAACAAAAACATAAAAAATGACCACTTGCTTTCCTCATGGTTGAAGCCATAACATGTAGCATTATAACTATAAATATTATGTAAAAATAATGGATCATTTGTAACAAGTTTTAATTGTATAAAGAATCTCTGATAAAATATAAATTTCTCTATAAACTGTCCTGCAATCCTACGGTCATCCAGGAGTGTTACATAGAAACAAGGATAAAGTAGACTACTTAACTACTTTCCAGGTTTTAGATTGAAGATGGGGAACTTTTGTAGAGCATTCAGACTCTATCAGTGCTATTATCCAGCTCATCCATGAAAATAAGGAGTGTGTATTCGAGCCCTAAGTCAAATGCTTTTTGAACATTTATTGGTTCATCCCATGGACTGTATTCATCCCAGGGACAAAACCATCACAGAGCCAGTCATACAAAAAGCGACCTGCTCCAATTGTGATGAAGGCTGCAATCTTTTATATATTTTGGGGAAACATAACACTGTCTTCACAAGGTAAAATAGTGACATAGTTGACCAGAAACTCTCATGACAGAGGAAACAGGTGTGGTTTCAGTTTTAAAATAGTTCAGACCAGTGAAAGCTTTTTGGATAGCTGGCTGTGACATCTAAATTGACATGAAATTTTATTTTTTTCAGATGTGAAAAAAATCATTGAGGAAGGGGACACCAAAGGGCATCTATTGTGAAATTGACTGTTACGCACGTTCTGCTACACCACAGACTCACAGAAGCCCCCAGTGGTCATAAAGAGCAGCACAGGTGACAGAGAGGTAATTATTGATGTTCTGTTTCCCTATTAATCCTTATATTTAAAAGCTGATAAATAAGTTACTAAATTCTGATCTCTTGTATGTTTTCTGGTGGCAGTCCATCACCTGGTTATCTAATGAAACATATTTATTTGCCTGGAATCTTCTACAGTACAGAAGTACAGCAGTTCTCTCTGTGAACCTAAATTACAGACCTCCGAAAATTGTTTACTCCCAAACTGGTGACTTAACCGGTTTAAAATAGGCAAACAGATTTCAATTTGGTTTTAAATCTCGCCACAGTGCAGAAACAGCACTTTTGAGTTGTGGTGTGTGTGTAAATGAACTTAACATATTAGAATGTTCTTCATCACGAAAAAACTGAGCTGCCCAAAAGATGCCCAAGCCACATGCAGCCGATGGTGCATGTGTATTGTATAAACTCCTTTGGTTCCAGCATCAGAGCGGAGAGACCCAGAGCTAAGGTAAATCAAAGCAAGTTTATTTGCATAGCACAATTCATACACAAAGTAATTCAAAGTGGTTTAAATATAAGAAATACATTTGAATCACAATATAAGCAAATCAAAACATAAATAATCATCATAAAATTAAAAAAGAGAGAAAAATAAAAAGAGACAAAGACTAAGACAGCTAACACCATTAGAGCGTAGATAGTACTTTTAAAAAAAAAAATCCAAATCAAAGTTACACAAAAATAGGTTTATTTACATTTTATATTTCATTTATGTACTTCCATATATAAAATTATCAATAAATGCATAAGGTTACATGCACTTATAACTTCTTTAATTCTACATCTGAATCATTCCATTTTCTTGGTATAACATATTTGTAAAAGACAAAATTGAATTTCTGGTCAATATAAACCTCAGACAATATTGAACTCACAAACAGAAGCCTTCTCGTCTTTGCAGTTTTCATCAAACCACTTTCCTTTGGCCCTCGTGGACATCACGGCACAATTTTGGCGGGTGGCACCATCTGGCTGATGGGTGATCTCTGTCTCCCAGTTTGCATACCTCAGGACCGCCCCAGTGTTTTCGGACCACACCCCCTCCATT